TTTATACGTCMCTCCTCTCTAATTTATCTCTTCTACTTCCTTCCTCGTGGATATAGCTGCTATTGCTTGCCATCCTTCTTTCGTCTGCTATRCTCCTCTTSCCCCTYCTTCCTCCCCTRATCTTCWTTCGTCGTGGACATAGCTATCGTACGCACAAGAAACCACGCTTTAGCATGGACATGCCTGTGTCATTTTCCATTTTCCTTCGACGTCGTTCCTATCGTTCATATCTCAAGGTTATTGTTTTATTCCCAAGGCCATGTCTTTTGGCATGACGCCTTGCGCAAGATGTTCCAAAACTATGTCGAGATATTTCCGATTAGATATGCCCCTAAGGCCAATGAAGCCTTGAAGCACGGTATATAATGTATCTGTGCTTGGACATCTGCGTCCACTGTGTCTAACAGTATTGCCACGGGTTCTTTCAAGTAGAAATATAGGTGGTTCTTTGAACTGAAGATTCTCACTCTGATTCTGAGCAAATTCTTCTTTTAGTCAGAAAAAAACGATTAGAAATTTCGAATTTTGAACCAAAGGTCGACAACAATTTCCATCTAATTCTTCTTCTTTGTATCAAAACCCGGTAGAAAAATTCAAACTTTTGTATGTCTTCTCAGATAATTTCAAGCTATTTATCTTACTTAATATCCAGGAAAACTCCTAAAACTTTAGTATCCACCAATGGCGTGACTTTCCTGGAATTGCTTAAAGGGCTTCATGGCGGCTAACAGTGGGACCCCACGCTTTCTGTCTTTTCTCCCCAAAAAAATAAGCTTAAAGAAATATTTCTACTATATCAAAGCACCTTCTGTTCCTCATGCAAACGGCTCCATCAAGAGAAAAGCGGAATTATCGAGAATAAGAACCAAAATATCAGTCACATTTTTTACAGCTTTATTGGTTAAAATATTACAATAAATACAAAAAAAAAATAATATTTCACGAGGAAAACTAAACAACAACAACAAACAAGAGAAACAAATATTTTAATAAATATTAATATTTTAAAAGCCCAACAGGGTGAGTACGAAACGGATCACCTATTAGTTTAGGTGATTCTTCGWACTTTATTTACCGCAAAATACTTGTTCTCCAACTTTTTTGGGCTTGGCGCTGATAACTACAAGTGATATTTAAACCAGGTGATCCCAGATAGTTTTTTTTGAAAAGCTTTTTTTCTCATTAGGAACCAT